AGAGCTCTTTGCTGGCACAGTGACTTTCATAACCTGTCTTCTGTAAGGAACTACAGAAATAAAGGAGAGGACAAGTCCCATTTTCCTTACAATAACTTATTATCAAGTTATTTAGTTTAACTAAAAATTACACAAATGTGACTTCAAAAAATACAACCATTTAAAAAGACATTAAAATTTGAATTGTCAGCGTAAAGACTGGGAAAGAACAGCAATACTTGATGAGCAGAACTATCTTTTGGTGCCCAGGAGAGCAGCAGAACTACAAAAGCCAGTGAACACTACCAATCCCCAATACTAGAGAAAAGAAGGGGAACAAAGAGTTGAATGGAATTTAGATGGATGAGGAGATAACAGACAAACAAGAAAAGGTAATATGAATACATACATACACACAGAAAAAAAAGTAAATAAAAAGTACTTATGAGCATCTCAGATATCTGTAGACCTCTAGGTAGACTTCTTGGTATCTAAATCTATAGATTAAAAATTATGTACATACATGCAGAAAGCATGGAAGAAACTAGTTCCTTTGCAATGCTTTTTTCCAAGTTGAGTACAAAGCGTGTTTCCTGTTCCCAATAAATTTTCTTTAGACTTGTCAAAACAAATTATGTATTAGGTTATTAGTCATAAACTATTACAATTACAATAGAAAAATGATCACAGAGTAAGTCAAATGTGATCATTCTCATAAAATGAAAGCATCTGGTAATTTTGTCCATTATGAACTGAAATGTATTTGAGAAATCGTAGAACATATCCAAACATTATTCAAGGCATTTAAAATCCCAGAATTATGTGATTTTGCCTAAAATGTTTACAAAAGGACTCCGAGTGAGATAAAAGGTCAGGAACATCTGAATTCCCTATAGTTTCAGAGAAATTCTTTCTATTAGGAAACACAATTACTAATCTTGTAGAGATGTTGCCCTACATAAACTATTCTTTATTGAGGTGTGAAGAGACTGGGATTTCTAGTTCAGCAAGAATTCAAGAGCTAGTTGTTTGCATCAACATTAGCTTTGGACTGTAATTTCTTCCCTACTAATTTATTTTTTTTCCCTCAAGTTCTTTAGTTGTATTAGTTTTTCTATTTTTGAAGAGAAAGATAGAGCAAGCATTTTGGGAAATGCATTAGATGAATTTGGATTCTCCTCAGACAGTTTGTCATTAAATCTATTAAACTGACTAACAGCTTGAATTAGATGTCTGCACAGAAGGTGCAGCAAGGCTCCCCTCACCGAGGAGTAAAGAGAACTTCAGGAATGTATGCTTCAGACCTGTGAACTCTCTTAGTGAAAGTGGCAGATATGATAGTCTTGGCTCCTTACAAGATGTAACATACAAAATTGCAGCAAAAACTGGGAAGATACGGATTTTATTTAATTAGTAGATTTTTATATGATCAAAACGTTCCACGAAGCCTGCAAGAAAGTTTCCTCAGGAAAATAAAAATCCCTACAAATTGCTAGAATTCCTTCTGTCGTCTTTTAATGAAATTCCTTCTTTAGACTTACAGCTGAGACCCATGAAAGGATCTAGATTTCTAAGACTGACACTGTAATTAGCTCTTTTTAAACAAACATCATTAAAACTTGTCTTATGTGAATGGCAGCCTCTTCCAAGTACACTGTTAAATGTTACTAACAGAAACTACTTAATACTTAGAAGCGTAGATAAGTTGTATTTGTAGCTCAGATTTGAATAGCAGACTAAGCTCTTTATCCTTTAACATTTCAAATGAGGAACTTCAAGTAATTATGTGTAACAAACAGCTTAGTAATCTGATCACCTTTATGTCTGGACAACTGTTATCATTCGGTCAGTCCTCTTTCCAGGACTTCCTTCTAGTAAGGCTACAATGTATTTTTCCCACCGACGATGGGGCAGCTGCACCACATTGGATGGCTCCCAGTCCCTCTCCTGTGTACCACTGACCTCCAGTGGCTACAACTATATTTGTTCTTTCCCATTGTGCTCAGACCACTGTCATTCCTATGGAATGATCCTTGGATAACGTGAAGACGTCTGGAAGAAAATAACACCTAGCACTGTATGATCACTATTTCATGGCCACTGATAGCAAGTGAGAAATGACTGAACAGTAGAGGCCACTTGCAGCATCAGCATACTGTGCATCATCAAATCAGAAATTAATTTATGTAGAAAGAAACCTATGGAAGTAACTTGGTTCAACGACCCCTACTGAGAGCTGCTCTGCTTGCTCACGACCTAATCAGAGTAAGTTCTGAACCTCTAGCAGGATGCAAATTCCACAGACTCTGGGCACTCTGTTCCAAAGACCAACTGTTCACATTAAGAAAACATTTTCACCAATCTTTAATTAGAATTTCCCTTTTTACAACTCATGTCCAAATCACACTGACTCAGTTACGTATGCAAAAGAAATGGACAGGGAGCCGTTCTTAGAGAAGTGAATCTCTCTTTGAGACACTGTCCAATCTCCTTGGAAAAGGAAAATGTTTGGTTTTGTAAGTCTTATCTCCACATACGCATATCTCCAGGACAGCGGTAGAAAGAGATCAGACCCAAATTACAGAATAGTTCCACTTCCAGAAGTTGTCAATGAAAGCAAACTCAGGAAGAAGTCACCTCAGGGAGAAACACTCAAGTTTATACAATCTCACTTTGTTCTGCAAATGCAAAGCTCTCAGACCAACACTTACTGATACATATTCTTTTTACGGTGCGTTTCACAGTCCGAAGAGACCTTACCCATTCTATTTTTAACATTAAATCTTTATTTGGAAGATAATCTGATAAAATTTGTTCATTTAAATAAGCTTGTGATTTTAAGCTCCCCATTATTTAAATAATTGCTGACCATGCACATAGTTTCAAAGAACAGTAAAAACACTACATGACAAAATGCCAATTCATACAATTATCCAAAGTGAATTCCAGACAGATTGCATATCACTTTTTTTCCACGACTATTGATTCAAACACAAAAGCAAACATGTATCTAGAAGTTCTCTGTGCATGCCACACTTTCAGCTTTATCTAGATATTAAATAAAAATCAACCATTTCATCATTAAAACAATACATACAGTAACACAAATATACCTCAATGAAGAACACTTGATAATGTTTGAGCTGTCTTCAACGTTGCATTGGTTTGCATTGATTTTAGGGCTAGTCTAACATTCAGCAGTCCAGTAACAATGAATAAGCCTAATGCATTACGTAAGTGTAAGCTGATTAAATCCTTGATCCTGCAGCCACCGCTTTTTTCCCCCTCCCCCTCCAATTTCAAACTTAGCATAATTGAAAAATCTGAGTTTTGTAACTTTCAAATCCTAAATTGTACCACTTTGGGCATAAAACCCACAACTTGTATTAACGTAATCCCTTCAGGTCCTTCTTGTCTTTTAGTAATTTCAGGAACTTGCTAAAAGTCTATTTTAAAGCGATCGGTTCCCCAGTAAATTTTACTTTTATGGCCAAATGTTGTGCTTTTTTAGTATATACTGAATGGCACACAGGTAGCAGCATTTATCACATTGCCAGTACCTATAAAATAAACAGGCGTTTATCACGCTACCAGTACCTATAACATAAACAGCAAATCAAATTAGACAAAGTGATGCTCTCATAACATTCAGTATTGCCAGAAGTCAGATTAGAAGGCGTACTGCTCATGGCAGTCCTAATTTCCAGAATGTATTGTATCTCAGTTGAAGTAAATGGGCTATGGGGAATGAGGAGGTCACGAACGAGTTATGTTCCCCTAGGACACTGTACTCCCAAGATATCACTACACTGGCAGTATGACAATGGAAATAGAATAAACAGATCCATGCAGGAGGGGGGAAAAAAAAATTCCTTCCAATAGGCCCAAATGCCATAGAAAACCAGCTGCTAAGAGCTGAAACCTGACTAAACAGCTGAATGGACAAAAAATATCTCACAACTTTTCAGCATATTTAGCTGTTTATGTGAATTTCAGATGCCAATTATCAGGGAGTATACAAACACAGAATCACTTAACTTGCACAACAGTTTTCTGAATTTTAGGGTTTGGGTTTATTTTTCAGACATTTCAACTTGAAAAACCCAATGTTTTGTTTTTAAACAAAGAGAAAGAGCCCTATGTATATTTTGAAATCAACAGCGTTCCATAATGATAAAGAAGTAGTAATTTGTGAGCTCAACTCCTCTTGAAATTTAAAAATGTTACAGAACAGTCAGCTGTAACTATAGTGCCTCAGAAAAAGGAGCAGCACAGCTCTAAGTGAACAAGGACAGATTACATCGTGTTGAGTTTTTACTAGAATTGAAGGTGAGAAGGGACAGAACAAAGTAAAGGGAATTCCATCCAACTACGGAGCATAAGGTTTTTAAGACATGGTAATTTTGAAAGAGATACGCTACATGTTTCTTGTAAAAGAGACGATGGTCAAGCCAGGTTTCACTGACAGCTATAAAAATGATGTATCGCGCATAGCGTAGGCTACTTAAAATTAGCAACTTAGTAATACTTTATCTAAACAACAACAAAAACCCAGAACCTGCGCTTAAACTAGTACAAGGAAGTTGCATTGCAGGTTTTTACCTCCTGTAGGCATCTGAAAACATCCCAATCCACGAACACTTTTTCACATTTTAACATAAGCGGCTGAGTCACAAACTCAATATTAGTGATTAAAGAAAGCAGGGAGTGAGGGGCAAGGTACCTGGACAGGGAATAGTAGTACACAAGTGTAATAGAGCTGACTGTTTCCTCAAACAAATAAGACAGAGAAAGGCAGGTGATAAAAAGCAGCAGTTCATAAGATTCTAAAGACTTCTCATGTTACAGAAGTGAATTCCTTTTTAGATAGAAGTTTGACAGCTATTCATGAAATCAAAATAGAAAAAGATCTATACATTTTCCACTAGTTCCCACCATAACAGATCTTGCAAACCAATACTTCTTAAAACATTCAATATGTGAGTGAAACTGAACGAAAACCTTTATGATTTGTTACATACCCCATTCTCTGTACGCTTCTCCACAGGTATACTTATTCCATTTCTTTGGTTCTGGGTTTGTCGTCCACCTAAAAGTGAAGTATCACACATACTGCAAAGCTGAGTTTTCAACACAAATGGCTTTCATTCTCGAATCCATACTTTTAAAAATTTGTACATACAGCTTTTACCTATCCTGTTAGGTTATTCTTTGCACGTAGTATCTGAAAAGGTAAAACATTTACCTCACGGACTTCCTCTGTTAACAGTACAGACAAGTAGGCCCACTTGTGTTTTGGCAATGATAATATGAAAGAGAATGTATTGAGCATGACTACTGTAGTTTCACTCTTCTATGTTCACAAAAAGAAGTAGCTCCAACTAAATGTACTATATATGACTGTGTCAGAGGAAGCTTCTCCAATGCCTTAAAAACAACTTTATTCTGCAAATTGATCGAAAAGTCTATGATTAATTAAAATGTTTTATTTGCATTGTTCAGAAGGGACATTTTCCTTGTATGTGACAATGTGGCTTCTGATATAACGTTGTTTAAAGCCAAATTATCCAGATGATAACTGAATGTTTCACAAAAATATCTAACAAATATATGCATACATCTCTTATTGAATTATATTGTTATATATTATATATTATATTATTGGACTTGCTACTTCTGGCATTCTAAGCAAACAGTAGCCACATGGATATCAAAAGAAAACTCAGTTCAAAGCAATAAGGTCTCAGACAAACTTGAAATTCAACTGTCAGTAGTCAGGTTAGTTTAGTGAGTAAGGATAATCTGAGCATGCAAATACACATTTTATTTTGAGATTTTATTCCTATCCTCAAGCCGGTCTGAGAGCAATAAATAATATAACATACAGCCTCTAAATTCTTATACCAGCTGGATCAGAAAAATGAGATTTTTTCTTTTGATTCCAGTCTTTAAATAAAGCCCCTCATCTAACATGGTTTTATACAAAGACTTTTTTTGTACAACAGACTAGAAATATTTCAAGATATCAATTATTACTACCTATATATATATATATAGGTATATATATATATATATATATATTATATATATATATATATACATGAAGTACAGAGAAAGTAAAGCTTGTGAGACCTCTCTCAATGATGTCTGTAAAACAGATTCTAGTTTCTGAGGGATGCCAAGTAGTTCACTGAATCTTTTCTCTGGGGGCAGCTGAAAGGAAGAATCTTCTCATAAAGCAAACGTGTATTAAGCCTCTCATGCACCAAATTTTTACATAACTACTAAGCATAACAGAAACCATTCTTACTACAAAAGAATTGCTCAACAGATTGGTAGCAATTATTCTAGAGAAGGGAATTTGAGAACATGAATAAACATGACACTGAGGAATGTTCAAAATGACTTTGATACAAGGAAGTTGTGTTGCATATATCTACTGAAATTTACTGAAAGAACTGATAATTGAACTCACTTCAGAAGACATTTTAAATGTTTAGGTGACAGCACTGCAAGATAAGTGTACTTACCCTGTTCATTACTTTCAGCTGGTGACTCCTCGTGCCGAAGAAAAAATTTCACCTCTTCCCTCCGGGGACCCCATTTCTGTAGGTGGTCATACATCATGTGATCAAAGGGAATGGGACGTTCTAAAAACAAAATTAAAAAACCCATCACAACTATTTTAAATCAGACAAAGCTTTATAGAACTCTCATTAAAAATAAGAATTTCATTTTTCTAGTAGTTAAATCCATTCAGTGTGCTTACTGATATGCAAAGCCCAAGAAACAAGAGTACACCAACAGAAAACAGTTGCATTGAGTTAAAAACTAGCCTTCTTACTGTAACACAGGTCACTGTTTACAGCTGTACACAACCAGTTTGCAAAACCATACCAAATACCAGTGTTTACAAACTCTAGTTTAATCATGTCAGGAATTCCTCATCAAAAGCTTTTTTCACAGAGCTGATCTTTGCACCTTTGCTCTCCTTCAGCAGATGGATATTTTTTTCTATTACTAACATAATTAATTCAGTCAGAATCTAAGGGTTTCCACTCAGTCTAAAAACCACATCAATATATTGACATTTTGCCTCATAAGAACCTGAGCAGGTGCCTCCACTCCATTATTCAAGACTGGACATTAGCTTCTTGTGTATATGGAATTTCAGGCAAATATTTGAACAAATAAACATTAAGATTTGTACAGCACTAAGTTTCTTTGTTTTCCACAGAAGAAATGCAAAGTATTTTCATATTATAGCTACTTCTTCCAAATTGATCAAATCTATCATTGCTAAGTGGTTATTTAGCATTTCAGAATGAATACATATTTCAAAAGCAAACACTTCATTGTGTTTAAATATACTTGCATTTATTTTTATGCTTTTATTAAGGGTAAGAAAAACCTCCCTTTTAAAGCTTCCTAACATTAAGCAAAATATTAGGAGATCTCTTCCAATCAGAATACAGTGACAGCAGAAAAGATTTAATTCATTTTCTTACGTACAGCTCTAAGCAGTCAAATCAACATTTGCTACAGAAAACCAGACTTGGATGGAAACCAGAAGATGGTTTGCATTCTTCATCATTAAATGCAAAACCTCCTCTGCCTCTAAAACTCAAACCACAGCATTTCCTACCAGTCAAAACACTGCTAACAATCTATCTGTTCCATATTTAACCTGTTTGATACAAGATGACAAATTGATTAAAAAATATGGTATCTTCTAGAAAGCTTGGGAGGAAGGAAGGCAGAAAAAAAAGACAATCCATGTACCTTTTAATAATGAAATTTACCTATATTTATATGTGTTATGAACTATGTAAATATATATACATCTTTATGTATTACAACTAAGTTCCGAGGAGTATCAAGACAACACATTTGGATCACTTGAATTACAATATATTTGTTACAGTAACTGTATTGTCAAAATCTGTCATGTCAAATAGCTTGATCTCATCAATGTCTTCATATTCCTTTATATCCACCTCTCAATATATGAATCAGCACATCCTAAGGAGCACCTCCTGAATGAAAAAAAGTAAAATAAAAAAGGTTCTCTGTATGCTTTTTTCTCTTTATTTTCAAAGTCTTTTGAGAACAACCAAGGATACAGATAAAAGGATACTGATCACAGCAAGCACTGAAGCATGGGAAGTTATCTCAGTTGAATGACCACTTGCCCATATGGACCTGTACCCTCTTTTCAATTCCAGCAAGCAGTATATGCTTGAGGATGCAGCATAACAAACAGGAAAGTCTGAGGTTGGAAGGGACCGGTTAGGATCAAGTCCATGCAGTTGTCCAAACAGTGCATGAACTCCAGCAGCTCAGGGCCATAAAAAAAGCCTTGGGCAGGCTTTTCCATGCCCGCCATCCTCTGGGGCAGATCCTTTCCCTAACCCCCACCTCCACAACCCCCCTCCCTGACTCTCCCCTCACACAGCTTCACACTGTTCCCTCAGGTCCTGTCACTGCCACAGAGAGCAGAGCTCGGCCCCTTCACTCCCTGTGAGGAGCTGCAGATGCCATGAGGCTGTGCCTCAGCCCCCTCTGCTCTGGGCTGAGCAAACCCAGGGATCACAGCCAATTCTCTTATGTGTTGCCCTCTAGAACCTTCACAAACTTTGTAGCACTCTATTAGACATCCTCTAATAGTTTTATACTCTTCTTACACTGTGCTCTGGATTCAGGGATCTGAACCTGACTCCCTTCCTACTGTCTCAGGGCAATGGAGCCCAGCTCCCGGAACAGAGGTCATTTACCACTTAGGACTCAGCTACTGTTCACAAGGGACCCGGCTATATTTCAGCCTTCAAAGGTCTCCTGAAACACAACTACCACCAAGATCGGCACCTGTGGCAGCTCCACACAGACCCTGAAATATAGATTACATCCATTATGGGAACAAAAGTTCAGCAGCAAATACACTTTTAGCGGGGAAGGGCCATTTAAACCACATGCTAACTAAGGTAAGGTTTAGTCCTTACCATCTTGCCTAAAAAACAATAAAAAAAAAAGACCAAAAATAACAAAAAGTAACACACAGGATTAAAAAATACCGATGCTTTTCTTTTCCTTTTCTTGACCCTTACTCAAGTGGATTCCAAGAAGCACTGTCAATACAGTCTGTGCACACAGGGATAAGGCCAGTGGCTTACTACAACTAGTTCTTGAAAAAGAATTTTAGAAACGCGATTTTCAGGTTTTTCAACTCCTAGAGGGAGGTAAGATTTCAAGTGCTCTGAAGCAGATCCACTAAAATTGGAACAAGAAACTGAAGATCACAATGAGCAAAATACCTAAAGAGTTTAGTTCAGAGGACACAGAAGGTCTGAAGCATTACAATTTTTTTCCAAGTAAAATGATTGTTAGTTAAACCTAGTAAGAACTGAAGCTTGATAACAGGTACCAAGAAACCAGATGTCTGAACAGGGTTGGGCTAATTCTGGAGTGGTGAGGAGTGGCTGCAGCATCACTGCTGGTTAAGCTGGTGTCCCATTACAAGGCCCCGATCCTAGGAACTATTCAAAATAAAAGGTCCTATTGACATAATGCATCTTTAAGAATCAGTAGTAATTTTCACACATGACCCCGCAGAGAAAAGGGAAATACATTTTCTACTACTTTTTCAGTACTTCCACCAAAACAACTTGGAATGAATATGCAGCCATAAGTTAGAGAAAGCAGCATTGAGAGCATCATTACTGAAGCAAAGAAAATGATGTAGTGATAATTCTGGGCAACTTAGGTAGACAAAAGGTACTTGGAAAAGAAACAGGAAGAGGAAAGGGTTGTTAATGTTTGACACAAAACATGATTTAATCTGTAAAACTGCAGGAGGAAACATGATCTTATATTTGCTGCAAGTTAGGTTAGCACAATGGAACATTTCTAGGAATACCTGTTAATCAACAATGAAAAAGCACTGCAGTTAAATGTTTCCCAGTTATCATGGCTTTAAGTATATTCATCAGTAACTTAAAAATACAAGAAGAAAAAAAGAAGGTAAAATAGCGGAATGAGTATAGAGGAGCAATAAATAGTAATAGTATATCTTAATAATAAATATTTCTTGATAGGAAAAGATAAGTGAGAAATGATCACCTACACATATATGCATCACGGCAAAACCTGTCTTAAAATGGGAGTTAGGCAAAAATTCTGAAATGCTAACTTGAGTATTGAACTTTCTACCTAGCCAGGAGTTCACTGCAAGAACACAAAGCGTCTTTACCAGCTCAGGTTTGCAGTTGTTTACTACAAGGGTACTTCTATTTCTTATACAGTCAGTAGCCTCTTACAACTAAGTTCAGGAAGACTAACATTACCAATTGCTGAAGGACATTCCAGATGTAAATGAAGCAGATAATTGAGCAATGGGTGGATGTAAAAGGTTGAAACCCATTCTCTTTTGAAACGTACTACAGGTTTCAGGCATGATACCTGTCTTGTGACATCCATACCCATCACCATTTGCAATTGCTGGGGAATGAGGAAGAACATTCTGCATTTTTTTTCCCCCTGTCATAGCATGAGGAATCCGAGAGAGGAAGCTTCAATCTGAAAAAGCACAGGGTGCTACTTAAATTCACTGATACATCAGGCATAAACTCTGTTGTGTTCTTCAACAATTAATCATTTCAAGAAATTGGAAAAGAGGGGGAACAGAGAACAAAATACTGAAACCAAATACATTTTGTCCAAACCCTCGTGCCACGCAACTCTGAGGAGAATCAGCTTCTTAACTGTAATACAGACAGTATCAATTTTACAACTCTTGGGAAGATCCTCAACTGTTTCTTTATCAAGCAAAAGAAAACAGAAAAAAGCCTAACATTCAAATAAGGAAATTTAGCAACAACTAAGCTATTGCAACCCTTTTCTAAACTAGCAATCTCAAATCATCGTTGATGCCAAATTTGCAAGGATTTCAATAACATCTTACTGGAAGACAAATAATTCCTCTCTTTCCTCCCTCTCTAAAAGTAAGTAAAATGAAGTATTTCTGAGTTATTTATTTGGACACGCATATGGAAAAGATTAAGACTGATGATTTTGTTAGATTGACACATTTTAGAAAACAAGCCTCTGGGCACAATATTTTTTTTTAATACCAAAATTAAGGTACTAAAAGTAATTGAGGTTCTACAACCTCAATTGCTTAGAATTCAAATAGATGTGTTTTATTTAAATAGATAACCTAAGAGATGATCTGTAGAACACAGGAGGTAATCACATTTGCAAAAGGACAGTTGTGACAGATCTGCCTTACAAAAGGGACAGAGATGTGATCTGTCACCTGAACAATGTGGGTTATTTATAACGTATCAAAAGTCAGTGTTTTTATCCAAACCCCAACTTTGAGAATTAAATTTTGTTTTTAATATCACTTTTCAAAATAACTTCTGAAATAACATCTGCAAATCTCTCGAGGATAAGGGCTGAGGTGTCTGAGACAGCGTAATTATTATGGAGACAAAAAATACTCATCTACTGGCAGAGCAGTTTCATTGCAAATTATTTCACACTTCCCACTATGAACCATGGTTTGGGTTGTTCGCTGTTGTAACTGTTTTGACTCATGTTTTCTGCAGCAGATCTCTGCTCCAGGCAAAGTTATTTTTAAAAACTGCAATGGTAAAAGTTTAATTTAGCTCCAAGGAGCAGCTGACAGAAAATTACCATTCCTATGCTCTGTTAAAAAGAGATTTCAATTTGTTTCACTGATAAACTTATATACCCTTAAACTTTGAGGTAAGAAGTTGAGGCCACCAGCTCACAGATTTTATAATATCCTACAACTAAGAAACAGAAACAAAACGCATATCACAAGATTCCTGTCAGACAGACTTCAGAAACAGTGTGCAGAAAATCATTTTAATGATGGTATAGGTCTGCCTGAGAGTTCCAGAAAGGTTTGGAGGTTTTTCAGTTTGTTTTCTTATTTCTGCCCCAATTCTTCTCCTTTTCTAGTCATTTTGTTCCACATTTTCAGTGAAATATAATCCATACACTAATCATCTTGAGTAAGACAGATCTGTGATTGCTGAGCCACAAGCACAGTTTGAAGTTTGATATTCCCATTCAACAGGTGGAAGTGTTGGGAAGCATTCTGCTTCTAAGCTTGTTTCAGAGAACTGGGGATGCTACAATGCTCTATCAAGCAGGTAATAACTGGCCAAAAGCAGTTACCTCCATATTCTATTCACTATATAGTTGACAGAGATCTAGCTGTTAACAGGATCCAAGACACATAATTCACAGGCCAGACACCAAAATCTAGTTTTATTTCTTCCACCTTTCCCTGGATATACTTTATTTCTCACTTTATACAAACTTCTAACATCAGTTAGCTGACATTTTGGGAAACTGTGTGTTATTCCCACAAATGAAGTATTTTCTCAATTCTAGAAGGCATTAGAGAAAGTTTGTGCTTTCATTTGCTGGGGTTACAAGGCATACAAGTCCTAAGATGTGGATCACAGGCTAGAGTTTCTTTTGCTGCTAGCTGAGAACATTCTTCAGATTTTTAAGTACATCCTCAAAGCATTGTAAAAGCAGAAGGACAAATGATACCATGTATGTTACACTTTCACAGGCCAGCAATTGCAAAATATTAGGGTTAGGTAAGTGCAGTTTTTCTTTAAAAAGCGTGCAGATCCATTTCATAAATTTATATGATGCACTTGGCATTTATAGACCCCCTCATAATCTAAACTTCTAAACTGGAAAATTTTTTTTAACAACGCCATAAGCTTTATCCTTAAAGAGTTTTCTATATTAAGTCATTTTGTATTCCTAAAACTGCAGGCATATTCAGCCTCTCCCCTGCTTACTCTGGCCTACACTCTTCAAATTCCCATCCAATTAGGAAAATTTTTGAGCACCCTTTTCTCCTTATAAAGCCATAGAACAGTTAGGAAATGAAAAGATACCCCAGTAGGAAACTATTCTAGATTGCTAATGCTTAAAAGCTCCACAGGCATCTGAATAATGCAATAAACTTGTCTGCTTTACAAAATGAATAAACAGCCCCTGAAGAAATACAACCCTTCTATAAAAAAATATGAAGAATCCTATCTCAAGTTATGACCCTAACAGTCTTCATAGAAAACCTGATGACAAATATTAATTTAAATAGGAGTGACCTTAGTAACTGCGGGATGAGAACGTATTATCTTCACTCATCCACTGATCCTACCCATATGTTGGTATACTATAACCTGGAAGCTTGCACTACACTTAACTGCTCAAACTCCTCTAGAAGCAGAGTCCATAATACACTTGAAGAGGATCATCCCCTCATTCTGTAAAATAAAAATTGCAGCACAAAAAGATGACAGACTGCTACTTTCTCCAAGAGAAATTGTGAAGTGTTTGATGGTACATATTCATGAGAAATTCAGAGATCTACATCTTATTCTGGTGCAATTCTATCTGCAGAACTTTTGTTATTTAAGATGCAGGAAGAAAAATCCACAGACTGTATGATTCTAATATTCTGTTAAAAGCATTCTTAGATTTCAGGTAGTGTTTGTGTGCAGTGAGGAAGCAGGACTGGGAATAATTTGCACCCACCTATTGTATGAGCAGACCACTAGCATTCCAAACTGTTAACCAAATTCTACTCCATCCCTAAGATGCTGTATGTCTATCTGAAATAAATGACACCTAGAAGTGAAAATACACCCATCTTTATTTATTCATTTTTATTTATACTGAGGCAGATACTGAATACTTTATATAACTTGAAAATCTTAAATACAGAAGACTAACATTTTAGACACACATTTTATCAATTTGTCACAGTTACTGTCATGCCAATTAGTTCATGCTAAGGGAGGAAACGAAGAAAAAGCATCAAAAATAATTGCATTCATCTCCACAGACACTGAACACCATGCTTTACACAAAAGTTTGCTAGAAAAAAAAAAGGCAAAGTACAATTAGGAATCACTGACATTCAAAACAGTGTTTTGGTTATTTTTTGTTTTGTTTTAATAATTGTCATATGAATTTAAATCAATTTCCACCATACATTTTGCTTACCATTTCCACGCCATACTTCAGCCAGGTGGCAACTTCCTTCTCCAGGCTCCTTGCAGAACTCCACTACATCGCGACAGGTTGTTTCTGGTGTAATTGGAACTTCCGTCAAAATCTGCTCGTTGTTACTCAGAAACACAGTTAATATCATCTGAAAGAAAAAAAAAAAAAGAGCAGAATATTCAAAATCATGACTAGAATATGGGTAGAACAAAGCAAAATCAAACACAGGGACAGAAAGTCACATTTTGTGAAGAGCTGCAGCTGCTTAGTTACCTGCCAGAGCTAAAACCACTGAGAAATCAGAGGTGCTCCCACCCCAAGCTGGCTGTGTTGATCAGATATGTGCAACCTCATAGCAGAAGTACTAAGCTTGCTTTCTTCATTCAAATCTATAACAAAGGACAACTTTCCCTCTAGTCACTGCTGTCAGAAATTCCAATTGGAAAGCTGCCACCTTAAAAATATTCCAGATGACTTGACGTCAAAGAAAACAGAAAGAAGAAAAAGTAGAAAGAACTCTGGAAGGGAAAAGCCTAGTTCTAAGAGATAATACTACCCTAAGTTGAAATAAATTTCTATTCAAATTCCTTTCTTCTTAAATAAATGTGCACACAAACACATCCAGAGCTATTCCTATCCTTCTTCATCTCAGTAGATGTGTCCTGCTGCAACATCAAGCACTCAAAAAACTGCACTTATCAGCTTACCCCCTTGCTTCACATGTATTATGACATGATCATTAATAATACATTCATTTGCTACATGAGATTTTCCCAGGGCAGTGGGCACAGCCCTGAGCTGCTGGAGTTCAAGAATCATTTGGAATACACTCTCAGCCATAGGGACTGAGCTTTGAGTGGTCCTGTGTGGAGCCAGGATTTGGAATCGGTGATCCTTGTGTGTCCCTTCCCACTCAGAACATTCTGTGATTCTATGTTTCTACACATTTCCCCTGCTAAAGACCTCTGCCTCATATAATGTTCTTAATGGATTTGTTTTGTAGGCCCTCGTGGCATTAACTGCAAAGGGTTGGAAATGTGTTTTCAACAGCTGAGGGGCTTGTAAGAAAATAAAAATCCAACAAACTGAAGTCCTAATATAGGGATTCTGAAGAGATTCATTTTTTCCCTGAAAGAGAGTGGTCTGAGCACCAGCTAAGGTTGTATTTGGAAGCAGCTATTTCTATGTCAGACTAAATCCTCAAAGAGATACCTAAACTTCAGCTCTTGCTCAAAATTTAAACAGATACATTTAAACATCACATCAACTCCTCTCCCTCACACCTCAATTTCCAATCAGTAAACAAGTCACAATACTGTTCTGTAAACTTACAGCAACGGAAGACAGATAAAGCAAGATTTCAAAGATATGACTTTGATAATGGATGTCCCTAAAGAATATGAGCAAATTACTGACTTTGTCTTCAGAAACAGTACTCAGATCTTTCTAATAAATAAAATTTAGCATCATGTATTGAACTACAAAGATTAAACCTAATCATTTAGCAGCTCTTCATTAAATGAGCACTTCACTTCACTAGAGTTGTGTTTCAATTTGCACAGATCTTACATATTCGTAAGATCTTTCATTTCTAAGATATATTACCTGTACCAAACTGGAGGTCTGCATTACTAACAGCTACACACTGAGCAAAAGCAGTCTATCCCAGCACTCTGACTATTTCAGAAACCCGACAAATTCCAAGGAATTTGGATGTTTCCACTTCTCAGTTTCCCCGTCAGACCTTCAGGCTATTTTAGCCCACATTTCTACACCCTCTCAGCCTGCCAAGTTTGTACTTATCCTCAAGTTTTCAAATTATCTCCATTTCCATGCAAAGAGCAGCCCTCCGGGGCTGTAAATATACTAGCACTCACCCTTGAGTTTCTTCAACAGTAATATTAAAGTGAGCTACAGTAGATAGGATACAACAGCAGATAATGAAGATGTCTGTAACCAACTGTTGTTTACAGCTCACAATGTTATTTTTCCTCATACACAAAGAGTCGGGGCAGCCAGAACTCAGTGGATGTGGAACCTTTTACAGAATTTATATCTGATACGGAATCCAGTAGTGGAATTTTACCTAGTATTTAAGAGGAAAGAGTCCTATATGAACATAAAACTTACAAGGAACCTTAAGAGGTCATCTGATTTAGTCTCTTGCCTCAGGCAGGATCAGCTACACTGAAATTATCCTGCAGAGATGCTTGTTTAACCTGTTCTGAAGAACCTTTCATGATGGAAATTCCACAGCTTTCTTGAACCATCCACCCCAGAAGTCCAAGACTGTGGTTGTAATGAAAAACTCCATAAAGCCTGGTCAAAACTTTACACTGCTTAACTTGAATCTTCTCCTAGCCTCAGACATTGTCATCCAAGATTGATTTTAGATGTCAGTACTAGTACTCTGCTTTCTCCAAGGCATGATATCACTCAGTATCATCTGCAAGACAACCAGGAAAGGTGGCTTGCTAACAAAGACGCAAGGTTCTGTAGCCAGCTGCTCTCATGCTGCTCCCAAGCAAAGTTGTTAAAGTAAGGATTTATTTATTTTTAACAGGTTGTCGGAGTAACACCATGGGAACTGAAACACTGTGCTGTGAAACAGATGGCCTGAAACAAAAGGAAGACTCAAAATATTGAGAATTATTAACATCTCACAACATTAATTAGACTTTCAAGTCAGAGTCATAGCTCTCCCTAGTTGTGGTGGAGATGGAATAATAAAAGGTAATTTGTAAGGAAAAAATAGAAAGGAGTGCTGATGGAACGAGTGCTGATGGAACCTTGAAATTTGCTGCTGAAGAATATGAGCAAGGCATACTTGTGAAATACACAGTACACCCACTGATGTAAACTCATTTAATGAAAAAAACGTTCTTACCCAAGGATCAGAATGCAGAGAACTGGTAATTCCTTTGATTTCTCATTTTAAATAGATTCCAAATGGCAACAATTGTGAAAACCCATGTGAGTTCATAATCATATCAGCAATCCAGTTCAACCATCAAAAATCTTAATGTGTGGACACAGCAGGATGCAACAACCCACGACTTGTGACTATGTCACTGCAGTGCTTCTGTGCTGTATTTTGTTTCTACAGAATATATACTGAGCTTCAAAGTCTTGCACTTGCCTTCTCAGCATACAAATGCCACCTATCTGCTACTCTCCTCTGCTACTCCTCCTTCCAAACCAATGGCTTTATTCCAATTTCCAATTCCTGCTTCTATTTACTCTTCCCTACTTCTAGTATAACCCTTCATGGTTCAGTTCTATTCCATGGCAGGTAAACTCTACCAACATCACAATTTGCCCTGTTATCTCACTTTTCTCAGCTTACCAAGAACTTTCTACTCAGCTGAAATCTTTACCCAACAGAGAGACATATTTACACATACGTTCTTCATCTGCTGTCTTCATTTCTCCAGTTCCAGTTTTCATCTCCCATACCACTCTGCAGCTACATTTAATCACTCCTGCCATTTCTCAAGGAGCAGAAGAGAGGGATAAATTCACAAGATCTTTATCCTTGCTTCCTACCTCCTCTCTTTCCACAGCTGGATAATGTTGCCCACAAGCTTCAGCAAGCATTTTCCATAGAGACTGCAATTTTATCTTTCTAGACCTCATTTCTTACTGATGACTCCAAAATCGTAACCATCCCCAGTTAATTCTTGTGAATGCCTGGCTACCAGTTTGAGTTCTATATGGCTGGCACACAGCCCTTAGATTTCATACTCATCATAACAGAGACCCAACATTAGAAGTTGTAATACAGGTATCTCTGACACCAATCGTTTTCTCAGTCTTGTGTCCCAGACCCATCTCTATTTCATCTGTGCACCACATAAGGTACAGACAGCATTTTCTATCAGCTGATCCAGCTCATGCTCTCAGAACTTGGAAACACACCTATCAGTTTCCCAAAATTTCACTGGTGGTTTTTTTTTTTTTTTTGATTTTGTTTTTTTCTTAAACTGAGTAAAATCTATTTTTCAAGCCTATGGTTTCAACCACACCATCTTTCTGTATCTGTCCTGTTAAGCACAATTTATTGCACTTCCCTTTTCCACTGTGACATGGAGTCTCCTTCCCTATCGTTTTTCACTCAATATTAAGTAATTGATGCTGAAGTGGTCCTTTACATCAGCTTCTGCTCTGCACGTAGTGAAAGATGTCCCTAGGCTATCTTCTGTGCTGTTTATTGTGCTTATATGCACCTAAAATTTACTCTTTTCCACAAACAACTTCCTTTGTCATTCTGGTTACAAAATAGACAAGCTACAATGAGCTGAAAAAAGCTACTAATCAGGCAGATGCAACTCGTTTTGCCTATTTAGACTCCTCCAGCTGATCAGTTCAACTCTCACTAATGCTATTATTTATTATTGGGGAAAAAAAACCATATAAGAACTACACAAAACTAAGAAGTTAGAGCTGATACGTAGTTTTGGAATTAGAGAGTTAAGAACTTCCAACTTCATTCAGAAGCCTTTCCTCACCCCTTTTCCTGCAGTCTTACAAATAAAGAAAGAAATAACATCCAGCCACAGCCACCCATAAAGCCAAAACCCAATGCTTTTGATCTTCAGCTACTATCTCAAATTATGAAGAACAGGTATATATTTGGATTCACTTTGACAAGTATTTTCACAGAGATAACACATCTTGCTCAAACAATCCCTATATTACCCCAGATAGAAAACACAGATGCTTGAATAGAATTAAACCCCACCGCCTGAACTAGGACATAAAATCCCTCAATTGCCTTATGCCCAGGTTAATTTACTAACTCAGATAATGCAGTACGCTGTGGCATTCCAGGCTAATATAATTCAGTACAAGCACACATCTCCTGATACCCTGCTCTCTGAAAATTGATTTAAGCTATCAGAAAAGTGCTAAGAGGTGAAAAACCGTCCCTTTGGTGACAAGCTAGTAATCCACAACCCTGCACAAAAAACGTTCAGAGAAAAAAAGTTACAAGGTTACAAGTTATCAATTACTTCATGCAAGTTTGCTTGCATGGAATTCATGCCACTACATAAGTCTTGCATTGGTTAAAGCTGTAGTAATTCTAGTTGCACATTTCAAGCTCCAAGACTGAATTGAATTTTCCTTGCAATACATACACTGTCCCTTTTTCAGAATGTAGGCTTGATTAGGGGAAGCTTTAAGCGATTATATTTTGAAAGAAACCAAACTACAAAGTTAAAAACACAAAACTGTTTTAATTAAGACTATGTAAAGATGTATTCTTGAGTAATTTTTTCTTACTGTGACATTTTGGAACAAACAAATCCCCAGTAAATCTCTAACGTTGGTTAGCATATGTAAGTCTCAGAAAAGCAGTAAGATTCAACCATCCCACTTCCATGTACTCAGGAGGAATCTTTGAAGCAAGTCTAACAAACAAGTTATTCACCAGCATGCTTAGAATGAAACTACGCTTTTTAACTGTAGATTTCCTGAAGAATTTATTGCATTGTATTTGTGATATTTCATATAAAAGTATCAAGCACATTTCTATTCCTCATGCATTTATCATTTCTTCTTTTCAACATCTTTCCCCCCATTCTTGTATACGGGGTGAGAAATAAACAAGTACAATTTCATATTTCTGAATACATTTCCTCACAACTACCTGCACCAAACAGTCCAGGCCAAAGTTTAGCACTCAGTCATGGTTGTTGACTGCATTGGTACAATGCAGAGAAGCAGTGTAACCAGTACAGACTTGTGGAATACAAAAAGGAGTAAAGCTTTCCACCAGACTGCGTACTTTGCAAAACCAATACCATGATTCTTCATGCATTCTTTTTAAATCTGAAGACAACTGCTTCCCAATGACCTGCAAGAGTCACAACACTGGTAGCAGGTCTCTGATGCTAAAAACATCAGATCATTCTTCTTCAGGCTGTTAAGAAGCATTAAATGCACACATTTCATTGTTGATAAACGTAAGCATTCATAAGAATACTCAAAAACAAAAACCTAATATTTCCCTTGGAATACATTTTTTACTTTGATCAAATCTGAAAATTTATGTTTCATATTTATTTGAACTAACTTCACAAAGGCCCTTTTTACACAGGCTCACAACCTGCTTGTTTTTCTTTCAGTGATGACAAAACATCTGCTTTGACGTCCACCTCTGGAGGCATTTGCACAAGACAATCTGACTACAGAAAACGTAGCAAGAAGGTAACAACAGTTTTGTCAGTCAAGACTTGTAGCCAGAAACTAAGCAATGAAGGATAAAATCCCTTCTTTTGGTAAAGCACTGCGATCGCTTTTAAAAAATGACTTAATTTCTATTATAGAAACACAGTCATTATACATTAAAAGAATTAAGAGATCTTCCCTCAGTTCTGTCATGCCCACACACATGCAATGGCTTAAAGAAGGGGGAAAAAAAAAAAACAAAACCACACAGATGTTTTCTCTCAGGACTTTCACAACTGTTACTTTTGTCCTCTTCAGAAAATAAGCTCTGTCAGCCAGCATTCCACAGGATTTAGACCATTTCAAAAACCTACACCTGCTTGCTCTTTATTTGCTCTTTGTTACTGAAAGAGAAGACGCTACGGAACCAAGGGCAGATTCAGAATGTAAAGCCCCTTATTCCAAATAAGGCAGGCTTCTGGGACAGCAGAGAAACAAGCCAGCAGTTTGGCTAGAGGAAGGAAAGATCAACATCATCAAGTATTTAAATACACCCAACTAAGCAAGGCAGGTCTGTGGATTATAATGAAAGGTATAGTAGTAGCTGGCTGGAAGGCTTCCAGAATACAAAACCTGGTGAAACAACAGCAATTTAGAAGTTCACTTGCGTAAACACACGAACAGCCCATGGACTCCAAAGGACATTCAGAACCCACTTGGTTCTATCAGAAGCCACGGCGCTAAGCCTCCACCAGCTCTGCAGGCTTTATCTTTGCAGAAGCTGTTTGCTGTTTGTCACAACATTGGAATGCTGCCTTTTGGATTCAGAATGTTCCTTTGAAATCCAGCAGCAGTTGGAATTTTGATAAATTAGTTAAAAAGAGGGGCAATAAGCATGTGGCTACAGAAGAGAAAATGGCTATAGCCGGAAAGGGACAAGTTAAAGAGCTAAGAGTTTGCACTGCAAACAAAACTATTTAATTTAAAAGGAAATCTGTCCAAGTGCAATATTTAACATTGGAAGCTAAAAGGAACACAGCCTGAAGTTAGAGAAATATATAAAGCATGCCTCTTGTGATGTTTTATAGTGGAAAATGTAATTTGGCACTCGCTACAGAATGAGTTCAACATCCCTGCATCATTATCTGTTGGCTTGATTCCTAAATTGCTACATCTGGAGGAACAGCAAGAGATCTTGTTGCTCTTTGATGCAAATAATTCCCCAAAAGGACTGCCAAGGCACAAGTTACAGCATAAGAGACTTCAGAGCACAGTGATAACTTAAGGTATGCCAACAAGTTCTTGCCAAGCACATTTTGTCATTAGCTAACTGAGTTCAAATGAAGAGATTTTTATTTTTTCCAGAGCAAGGCTTTGAAATTTCACACTATCCCACTCTAGGCCACGTGCTATCTTTCAGTGCGTAAAACCACCACTATTAAAAGCAGAAGGCAGAAACCTGGAAGGCTCTGTGTGCTCATCAGTTGATACTGGACTTCCTAAGCCCCTCACAGAAGTCATGACAGTTCAAAGAAAGTACTCTCACCTTGCTAAATTATTATGCTCTGATTTGTAATAGGACTACTGAACATGAGTCCTTGCTGTCTATCAATGGTGAACAGAAGCAAACTCCAAGACTTCTTCAGAACATTCTAAGATACCTGCTGGCCTTGCTGAAGATACTCAATTTCTGTTCTACAATACTTTTTGTCTGTATGTCTTTGTACGACAAAGCTCATTTGTTACCGCCTGCCTAATTTCAATGAAATTTATCTACAGCTCCAGGAGGTAAACAAATAAATAAATAAATCAGCAGGCACATCAATTTTGTTCTGATTAGAAAGAAAAATAAATTGCTCATCCATTTAGGAAACCAGCAAATGCCTGCTACATCTCAGCACGTTTACAATTGTTTGGGCTTCTTAATGGGAACTCCTCAAAAATGCACGATGCTCATGTTTCCACTGTACTTCACATCTCCAGCACAGCTACCTCCAAATCAAATGGTTCAAAGTTAAGTGCGGAACGCAGGACGAACTGAGGCCCTAAAACTCCTGTGGAAAAGAAGGGAGGAATCCCTGCAGCACGGCAGCCACATCTCATTCAACTCCACGCTCATGTTGAGAGCTCTAAGTCTTCCCAATCTGTCATGATAACCCGTACATCATACATTAGAAGCATGAACAGCTTGATTCAACAGTCCTACAACATTAACTGCCTATTTCATTTACTCAGCTGGAGAGACAGAAACAATGCATTTAAAAAGACTGTTAAATATTTTGCTTTCCAAAGCATGTTACTAAAGAACAATATTACTCCAGTTCCTGTAAGATTTGCAGTAAACTCTAGTGAACTTACAATAAATTAGGAACAAAACCAAATTAATCCACGGTGACTCACATTCAGAGATCATTTTATTTAATAAAGAATCTCAGCTTTCCATTTGAACCAGAAGAAAGCTAAAAAATGTTAAAGAAAAAGGAGTCTTTAACTTTCTTGGGAGGTAGGAGGTATGGGGAGAAGCCTTATTTAAGATTTCTGCATTTTGAGATTAGCAGCACTTGAATTTCCTTTAAAAGACAACTCAGGACAACACAAGGCAAAGCTCAAGAAGAACAAAGTTAAGCACGTTGAAGGAACACTTGCACCTTAAAAACCAGCATGTAACAGAAGAGTCCCACAGAATTTGTATCACGGAATGGAGCGTTCTCAAATTATTAAAAACATTTTGGCCAAGGCGAGGGAAAGGGAGGTGCTGATGTTTCTACAATCTTGTGTTTGACCTTGTCAAAAGCTACTGCAAAGTCATCCAAAAAGCACTGAATTCCAGAAAAGCTTGTCTCCTATGCAGCTGTCCCATCAATCTCATCAGATAATTACAAAATAACAGCTATGTATTTGTGCTTTTTCATTTAATAAGTTTGCTAATAAATAAATAAATCCATACCAGAAGACAAAGCTGACCGAGTGGAGGAAAAAAAAAAAGAAAGGATCTTTAGGGAAGACATTTGTCTTCTGTCAGTTAATAAAGGCAGCTCGTGGCCAACCCAACAACACTTTCCATTTTAAAAACATCTATGAAACCTACAGACTCACAGCCATTCATAAAGTTACAATCAGAAGCAGCACTCCTCTCTTCTTTTCCATATTGCACAGTGAGAACAAACTGCCATGGCTTTCTTCCATTAACAAAATACTGATTGTTTCACAGATCGCTCGCAGGAATACCAGCCATTCAATCTGTGATGTAACGTTATCTGGCTTGGCAAAAACGTAAGAAGTGAAAGAAGAACATACCCCTTGGGATTCAACAGGCAGTCTGCAGAATTCTCCTTCCATCACCAGAGTAGAAATTGCACAGAATAGAAATGAACTCTTTTAAATTCTCACCTTCTCTTCTTCCATTTGCGTGGAAGGTTTAAAAATTAAGAGCTGCTCTATTTTGCTGTCAGACACCCACTTTGGCTGAATCAAACAAATAAAAACAAGCACGCAAGGGTTCCCTTCCTCCCCCTGCCCACAAACTCCAACAGAACTTATTATTAGGTAAAGTTTTATAAACTTAGATATTTGTTACACAAAAGAAAGCCATCAAGGAAAGATTGCACTTACAAACACTCTAACCCATGAGAAGAAATCAGTGCTCAGCACTTTGTGATTTCTTCTAAAACCCAATTTCACAGCAAATAACAAAAAGCAAAGTAATCCCACCTTCTTTTTTATAACTCTGTTCCTTGTCCAGTTTTTAGAGTTACATCCAGTCTTTTCCGGTAGCCAGGATTTCTCTTTTGATGTTTTTATAATATTCTGAAGAACCATTCTTAAAATATTCTTCATGTCAAAGTTACAGTAGTGATTAAATATATTGTGCAGAGCTAAAACCTAGAACAGTTCCTGTGCAACAGCTACAGTGAAAACTACTTAAATGGAGTATTTTTGGTCTGCTGGCATACAAATTCAAGCAGCAATGACGAGCAGTGATAAGATGTTCCGAAGAAACAAGACAGGCCACAGTTGTGACAGGAACAAGATAGGCGAGATCAAGTTTCCCCTAATTAGGCAAGGTTGCAGTAGGGGAGTTCTGCTATCCTCTCATTGTGCAATAGTCATCTTTGTTTAATATCATAACGACAAACATTAAATATTCATCTTAAATAAATTTACATATAAGGCTCTGTCTGTCTCAGAAGAGACAAGTGATTTCTCTGCTGCAGAGAGCAATGAGATGAGCAAAAGTTCCAAGAGCAAATGATTCCAACTCTCAAACTCTCCAAGTCTCCCAGAGACGTTTCCACAGTACATTTCCTTAAATCAGCAAAATGATTTTAGAAGACCAATCAGCTTAAAGAAAACAACAAAACCCACTACACACTTAAACTGTAGTATTTTTAGGCATAAGTACTGCGCCATTCTTGGCAAACTCCTTCTTCTTGCTGGACGTAATTCAAGCAGCAGAGAATACAAAATGGTAAACTGTGGTTCTGACTGCCTCTTCATGTCAAGGGACACGGAGTGTTTATCATCATTCCTGTCAACACCGCTCAGGATCCAGAGTGGGGGACAGCAAGATGGCACCAACTTAGCTCTTACTGTGCAATTGCATGAGCAAAGCATATTCCTCGGCCCAATCCATTCCCTTAATAGAGAAAATGAATAGAAGGAGTAAGCAAGTGACCCGGGGGGTGGGGGGACCAAAACAAAAAAAAAAACCCACACACACAAAGGAACTTAAACAACCCATCTCTCTTCCAGCAGACATGTTACATTTTCTGAGCAGCACCTCAGACTGCAGCAAGGGAAGAGCAATGGATTCTCAGCTCAATTTGCAATCTGCAGAAATGTGGCATTACCCTTCTCTAGAGCAGCAGCAGAAGGAAGAAAAAACAAGTAAGATTCCATATTTAGCTTGCTTCAACATTCAGAAACAGCACTGTCCTTCCTTAATGCATTTTGTTAGAAATGCAAACATTCTGATCCTGTGCAGCCTTCCTTCCTCCTCAGCAAACAAGTGTCACGTAGATAGCTTTATAATTAATATAGTAGGAATATAATTAGTAGAAGCATTTCAGACATTCAGAATGCAACAAAACATTAACCTACGAGGGACTGAGAACATTTTAAATAAATGAGAATCTAGAGGATATTCATTAAAAGGAAAGGGTTGTTTTGCTTTTGAAAGGGTGAAAAAAATCTAAACTGATTGCTCTCCAAAAACAGATCATATCTTTATCTGCCAGAAAAACAAACTATCATATGAGTAAACATTTGAGAGACAAAGCTGGGCCCGTATTTACACATTGTGCCCCTCCTCCAACTATTGCTGCGCACTGGATGTTTGTGAATGGCAACAGAAAAACCCCAAAAACTTATGACCGCTGTAATTGCAATAGAACGGCTTAATACTTCTGAAATACATCATGCATATATGGGGAGGTCCAAATCTAAAACCTGCCATCACTGTGAGCAATTGGGACCTTTTCAAAGAAGACTATGAACTAGAAAACAAGCATCACTGAACTTTCCTCTTCTTTTGTCCTGTCACTCACAACTTCTGAAATAATTGAGAACACCTCTGGTTACTTGCTAAATCAGAACAATGACAAGAGCAATACAAGCACGGTGTAGCTCCTTCCTTTTTCTCCTACAGTTCTTAAGTGTCTCCAAGTTCAGGATCTGACCCAACACAGTTTCCTGGCTGACTGATTCATCACTGCTACTTCTAGACAGGTAATGATGAATCTAGGAGAGAGACACAGTGATAAGGACACCACAACCATATCGGGTTACCTCATGTCATCAGCCTCAAAATCCTAAATTAAACAAAGAAGGAGACATTCTTTTGCCCAAAAAGCACAAAGAGATTTTGAGTGTTTTAAATGAAGACAAAGTCTTCAACAACATTCCTATTCAGAAAACTGTGCACCCACTCAGTTCCTGCTCAACAGGAAAGTGAAAGATGAGCTGTGACCCTACTAAAACATTTTAACAAAAAGACACTCCTGGCCTCTGAACAACACATGGGATGATGTAGCAAATAGAATGAAAGTGACATTCCAGAAAACGTACACAATTTTTACAGCAAACAGAATGGAAAACTACTTAGCATAAAGCAATAGATTACAATCCGTGGATATGAGCAGCTAAGAATACACTGAAGTAAGGGACAAACACCTTTATTTTTATATATAACAGCAGGAGTTCAAAAGGAATAAAACATAACATTGCATTCGTGATCTCACTAACAATTTAAAGCCTACTTGTTTTAATAACTTTGATTCCACTTTGCCTCTGTCTCAACACTCACATCATGGTGTTCACTCCTATGTTTGAAGACACCTTTTCTCACAAAAAAATCTAGTGTTTAACAAAGCAGGATGACCTGGGTTTCCAGCTAAGGTGGGGAAAGGAAAACAGAAGGGCTATAAAGCAATCCAGACACAATCAGGGACATTCTCATCCTCAAGCACTGGAAGCAAAGAGGCTGCTGAGACCTCAGTGCTTGAAAATATTTGTGCAGTTTGAGCACAGTAAGAAAAAGCTGATCAAAAGCTTTCCCCTACTTCTGAAAGGGTACAGATGAGTACCTGCACACTCCAGATCAAGCTTACTTGTAATTTTCTGCTATCAGTTCTTCAGAGCTCTGAGAGCACAAACCAAACAGCACTTGGTGGCTTCAAGAGGACCTTCCTTCCCAGAGTGCTACAACTGCACCTAAGAGGCTGCAGTAAATGAGGACAGTACTTGTTAGGCAGATGTCAGAAAAGACCAAGATACAGTGTTTCCAACACAGTATTTGTGTGTCTGATAAATTACTTGAGTTGTAATGGGTGTAGCCTACACATCCATTGCTTAAAATGCTTTCTCTGACTGACTTTGTAGCTTAAAAACATCAACAACAAAGATATAAAATAGGCTATTAGAAATCTAACGGTTGTTAAACATGAAAAGAGGACCAAAATTCCAGAGCATTTATCTTTTGCTAAAAACGAGAAAAGCACATTAGCTGATATAAATTAACCCAAATTTAAGTTGACCACTGGGTTTGAATACTGGGTTTAAGTTAACCCAGTATTTAAGTTGACCCCAACAAACTTCAGGGGTCCAAAAGAGCAGTTCATAATTCAGAGATTAAACTGACTTAAACCTAGCTCACAACTTTACCTCCTGCCAGTGTGACAGAAGTACATGCTACTGCTATCCATCATCCAAAAAAGAAAGCTAACACAAGTGCTACAGCACAGAATTGAGAAGGGCTGCAAGTAACAGATCTTCGGTTCTTTCCACGTGAAGCTTTGATTCTTCATCACATTCCTCATCAAATCAGTCTTAGTGATGTGGTGGTAAGTGATGATAAAACAGTAACAGCATCAGTACTCCAAGAAGCCAGCCAGAGAAAGAACTGAAAATATTTCTAAGTGACATGGGATAGTAGACACCAATCCATGCAATATCGTTTTGAAATGACTGCATTGATGCTGACATGATTAAGTGTAAAGGAGGTCAATCATTACAGACTAGCAGAAAACCATGCTCCTTACAGTTCATTTTTTCCAAAATTTAGATAACTTGGGACAACCAAGCAGTAAGTGAGGAGATGAAGCATCAGACATGAGACATTCAGAGCTTCATGCGGAGATGAAACTGCACACAGAGACGTTTCACAGTTTATTTTTATAAGACACTGTTTCAAAACCTCCATATCTCCCCTACAGACTCCAAACAGTTGGATGAATAGTAACAAACCCACTTGCAAGCCCATTTGTTCGCCTGTTGAATCACGCCAAACTGTTACACTTCCAAAAATTTACTGTCTTTAGATACATGGCATGAAAATCTCACCTCTTTCTCTATCAAAATATCTGAACAGCAACCTGAATGATAAGGATGCTGCTTGGCTGTTTCTAATAAAGCTAAGTGTCTAACAGGGTTAGTAGTTCTGATGCTGACCACCACATCCATCACACAGCACGTGCTCTGGCTAAGATGTTACCTCTACAAAACCCTAGCAGTCTGAGAAGAATTTCACAGACATTAATCATACCACAGAAATGTACAAATACCATCTTCTTACACAGCTCCCCAAAGGAAGGAACCCAGATATTTGAAAACAGCTCTCCACAGCTAAATGAGATAGACTGAGGTCAGGCTTAGATCAGTGCATTTGTAGAGATTGTGCAAGATATCCAGATATGCCTTCTGAAGCTTCCCCTCCCCACCCCCAACCCAAGCGGAAAACTTCCAGAAAAAGAAGAAAAGTAACACAAACAAGTGCAGCAATTGCCTTGAACCACATTAGACAAGTTGTATTAAGGGAGAGGATTACAAACTGGTTTTCTTAAACATACATTTGAGGTATATCACCTCAATCTAAACCATACCTGTTATCCTAAACTAAGACTTAATCCTGCTTGAAAAATTCAAGAAAATCTTTTTATTTAGGTAAGACTGTACTTGATGGCTATGGTCTGCTGGTCTCAGACTGCCCTGTTTCTCTCCTTTAAACACCAGAGAGCAGTGCAAGCATTACTTTTTTTGTCATACCAGTAATGCAGCTCTTCTCTCACATAACACTAACTCTCAACAATTGCTAGTTACTCACCCTCAGAAATCAGGACAGATATACACTGTTGTGTTTTTGTTTGTTTGTTTGTTTGTTTTAGAGAGAGAGAGAGAGAGAGAGAGAGAGAGAGAGAGAGAGAGAGAGAG